CACATACATACATACATGTATATATATATAGATATATACATATATATATATATATAGATATGATATATCATATCATATCATATATATATATATATGATAATAGTAATAGTATATATATATATATATATATATATATATCATATTATAAGTTAATAAAGAGTTGTTAGGACATTTTGAAACAACTTTGAAAAACACGCCTATTGGCTTTCTTTCCGAGAGTGAGAGGAGAAGATTGATATCATGTTCATGCGACAGCATCAACCTTCTCATCCAACTTTCAAAAATAAAGCAAAGACAAATATTTCCCAAAATGTTTCTTTAATGCAACGTGAAGACGGTCAGAACATTGGACGTAAAAGCTTTTTCCTTCACACTTTGTCACATTCTTCGGAACAAGTTGCCTTTTTAAAAAGGAAGAAACTCAAATCACTGTTTCTAGGAATGACTTAAGTATTCATATCTGATAGTAACAAATCATAAGTAATAGATTACTTTTCAAACACGTTATAGAAAACATCCAAATTGTAGAAATGTTTCTGAATTGAAGTTCCAGAAGCCCTTAAAGGTCAGCGGTGCTGGTGGCATCAGGAAGGAAGACAGCGGAGACAACAGACGGACATTTGACTTCCCTCCATCCCTCCTCCGTCACTCCTCCGTCCTCCTCCGCCTCTCCATCTCTCTCAGCCGTCTCTCCAGCATCGCCACCTGCTCCTCCAGCTGAACCATTTTATCAGCCGCGTTGGAGTTCCTCAAAGTCCCGACACCCAGTAGCACGCAGACGCACACAAGCACGGCCAATCGGATGGCCATGGTGTCGTTGCCCACGCTGCGGTCGCTCAGGATGAGTCCAAAACCGACCAGAGCCAGGCCCACTTTAAGCAGCCACAGAGCCCGCCTCAGAGTGGAGGCAACCAATCTGAAGACCAGGGAGATCAGCCAGTAGCCAATGAGAGCCGCGAGGACCCACTGGGTCACAAAGATCAGCCCCTCTGGGGTCACTTTGCTGATGGGGAAACCACCTGAGGCAAACAGGAAGACCAAGAGCAAAGAGAAGAGTTTAGTAATGCGCTGCGATGTCTAATAATGTCAGGTTTTGATTCATTGTGGATTACAAAGACATTGTAATTTAATTAAAATCATTATGAAGAGCACAGTATTCCTATTCATTTCAATGAGTCAGTCTGTTGCATGCTGTTTAACTAAACCCACGTCCTTCATAGTCAAAAGTCGATTGCTGGGTGATCTGGGAGCACAGCTTCATCTCTGTAGCTGTGCCTACGGTGTGTGAATGTTAGATAGTCCTGATGGGCGTGGTAGCCCCAAGTACAAGTCAATTTACCACTGCAACAAAGTCTTATAAAAGTTTTATATTTTCAGATTGAGAGTTTATTATTTTAAAGTTTCAAATCTTCAAATCACAGTCCTCAAAGTTATATTTAACCCCATAAAACTTTTCCTACACTTATTTATAGTTTGAATACATTAATATAATTTTCAAAGTTGAACGCCAACACTTAAACTTTCAGTTTAAAATTGTTTTGTTTTTGTAAATGATCAAAACTACAGGTTTCTTCTAAATGAGATGGACGAAACCTGTTTTGTTTCTCATCTGTCTGATCACCTGACTGCTTGTATTTCTGACCCGTCCGACTCTTTTGGTAAGTTAAGGTAAGGTAAATTAAGGTAATCCCTTATTAGTCAATGGGGGAATTTGCAGGATTACAGCAGCATAGTGGATACGAACAAGCAAGAGACATAGGTAGAAAAACAAGATCAAAACAAGCATAATAAATACGTAATCACACATTAGTGGTATAATAAATAAGTAAAAAACGTTAAAAACTAAAATATGATATAATCGGACTGAATGGTTGTTAATATTGCACAGTGGATACATTGGATTGATATTGCACATGAATAAATAATTGAATGAGGAATTGTCTGTTTTCGGTGTAGTGAAACTGGACTTATCATTTAAGACTGTCCTCGTGTCATCATCAGTCTGCAGCATTACAGGAAATAATAATGATATGGTTGGAGCGGGCGTCTTTGTGAAGATCAGTAGAGACATGGGGTGTGTGTGTGTGTGTGTGTGTGTAGGTGGGTGATGTTCACCTTGGAAACCAGCAGCCTCCAGGAAGTGTGAGATGTACTGTAAAAGCACATTCAGGCCCGCGGAGAAACTTCCTGCCACGGCACCTAGGACCTGAGAGAAAGCCTGGAGGAGAGGTACATAGAGAAACTGAAGGTGGTGCATGATGAGTAGTGGTGTAACAAATCATACAACTCATTAGACTATTTATTTTGTGACCATCCCAAAAATCATTTCAACTGCTCTGAAGTCTGTAAACCATCAACTATCCTCACCAACGTCAAACGGAGTTTCTCACCAACACATGTGAACACATCATGATAACGTTAGAATTTACCTTCACCCAATACTAATTTTCACTGAACAGAGCCTGAACGCATCATGTAACCGAACAGAACTGTCAGTACACGGATTGGTTGTTTACAGTGTAACATTATCAGAGATCAGAGAATCATAAATCATACATCATGTCCTGATCGCATATTTTACTGAATATTGGTGGATAACGTTCCTCAGTACAACTTTATCTCACACTGTGATGGTTAACGTTAAACTGTGTCATTATTTGCGGTCCGTTACCCACTAATAACGAGACATGTGTATGACAGTGGGATCGGCCTGCTTTATAGACACTGCCAGTAAAAGAAGAATGGAACCAGTATGTAACGCTTCCCGTTGCTCCCTTTTCTTGACCAATGTTGCATCACACGTGACAGAGAACTTTCCCCTCACGAGACCTCTGCAGCCCATGTGTTAGTATGCGTTAGTACAGGTCCTAGCTAGGGCTACGTGTGTAAATAAAGCGCGTTAATAGAGAGAATGGACATATTCCCTTGCCGTTGTTTGTTAGTGTGTTGTTCAGACAGTTAAGAGTTCTCGTCCAGTCAAATGTCCATAACATGTTATTTCTCTTCGGTTTTCTAGGTGCAGGTCTCTCTCTGTCTTTGCTGTGTGGATATATTTAAATATGTAAGTCCCCTATGTCAGACATGAAAATATATGCAAATCCATAATGTTGCATACTAGCCTTCTCCAATAAGCCGCAAACTGTTGCACTCTTTTGACCGACTGAGTTCTTTGCACCTCTCACCTTCTGTACCGAAAGCACCGTCTGTTCCCCGGCCAGCCTGCCCAGGTGAGTCCTTCCCTCCCCGGCCAGCTCAGCCAGGGCCGCCCGGAGGTCCTGGATCATGCCGGAGCGACTCTCGAACATTTTCTCCCCCGACACAGACAGCAACAAGGCGCTAAGAACACACAGCCCGCCGAGAGCTCTTTGAGTCGAAGGGTCAAACATACTGAAAGTAGCTAACCGACCAAAAAGTAACAATCTTCAAGTAAAAAAAAACAAAGTTATGAGCGATAAAAAAGTGACTACATCTACAGGTAAACAGCGACGGGAGGCTGAACAGGATGTGGAAAGACGTATGGGGATAAAAAAGAAAAGATGTCTGCCACCCACTGGGCTGAGTGTGCTACAGGTTTCCATGACGGCTTTACTTTCTTTATTTAAGTCTTCATAAGTCTGAAATGAGACACACAGCCGTCGGATCAGAAAGCAGTAACATTTCCTAGTATTTTCACTCATATCTATATCGTGATATGTTTAAGTGCTGGTGAGAAAGTCCGACCTCCTGCAGTTAATGAACTGTTTTCTCACTCAAACTCAACCCACCACAGAAACTCTGGATGTATACACTGCATTGTGTACGTTTACATACTGTTACTATACTCTTTTTTTTTAAATATGGACTCAAGTGTCTGAAAATAAAGTTGAATTATACTATACTATACTTCTAGACTGCCGGGGGACTTCCTAGGATGAGCTCCTCTTCTCTCTCTCCTTCTGTATGAACTCATGTCCCATTAATGCTCATTACTAACTTTGCTTCTTCCCCGGAGTCTTTGTGCTTTCTCTCCTCACAGGTTTCCATGGATCATGGTTATATCTGGACCCTGGTCCTTCCTCCTGCCATGGCCCTGCTGACACCTACTGCTATTACCATTATTATTATTAGTCACATTACTATTTATATTACTGATACCATTACTGCTTTTATTAGCATTATTCTACTATATCCACTGCTGCTGTTACTACTAGTAGTCGTCATTTTTCCATCCTTATTCTGCTTACTACTATCACTATATAAATCATTTCTGTCATATGCATTGAATGTGTCACTCTGTTATGTTGTTCATTCAGTACACGTGGCATCTATCATACTTCTGTCCATCCTGATAGAAGGATCCTCCTCTGTTGCTCTCCCTCAGGTTGCTTCCTTTTGTTCTCCCTGTTGAAGGGTTTATTGGGGGAGTTTTTCTGTACTGATGTGAGAGTCCTGGGACAGATTGTAAAGCCCTCTGAGGCAAATTTGTGATTTGTGATTTTGGGCTGTACAAAATAAATTAAATTGAATTGAACTACAGTGAATTTACGTTCAAAACCATAACACACTAAAAGATAACACTAAACTGTCAATTAAACTGCAATTTCCCACATTCCTCAATGAACTCTATGAAAGACTTGTGCCATGCTGGTGCAGAAAGAAGGATGATGAGGCAGAACCCAGAAGGTTTTGTGATTGTATGGCACAATATGGCATTTCACACACTTCCAGTCACAGGCTGCTTTACAGCACATCCCAGGATGGTGTCAGTCTTTCCTCACCTTACTTATTCTTCAACCTTACAAACCTTGGTTTCTGCTAAGATAATAAATAAAAGATACTCGAACAAAGACAACAGTCTCACGAAAGATTGTAACACATATTCAACAATTCCTTGCATTTTTTTTTTTTTTGAGAACTTGCAATTTTGCCCAGTATTTATAATATTTCGGCAGAAATCAGTCAAACTGGAAGAACATTTGTTTTCCATTATCGCTATTTTCTGCATTATAGAATATATTCCAAAACCAAACAACATCTTTCCTCCAACTCAGCAAGACTGCAGGTATATTGTTGAAATTGGCGATGTTTACTCTTTTCCCGTATTACTCGGAAACAGAAAACAGAGCTGTTTTTGAATCCCGGCAGCATTTTTGTTCTGTCGCTTTCCTGCTATCGGAGTGTGCATTTGAAAGCCTGTTTTATCCCAACAGCTGTCTTATATGTAGCTCAAGCGCAAATTCAGTCAGGAAGACACTCACTCGTAATCTCGGTCTCTCCTCTCCTTGTAATTACTCTATCAGCTGATTGGGGGCGTGCACTTTTAAGTAACCAACCAGATTCTGCACACTGGTTCCTGAAGCCAATCATATCGTTGCTGTCAAACTTTAAATAGTGTTCTCCTCTCTGCTGCTGTCAGTTGTCATTTCAGCTTTAAGCAGATGCGACCCTCCCCCACCCCAGTCACCTCCAGTCAGCATCACAGCCATGCTCCTGATTCATCATCAGATTGCAGCAACTCCTTTCACCACCACCACCAGTGTCAGGACTCCAGGGGGGATTAGGCCTATTGGACCTCAGTATCCCCTACCCTCCCTCGGTGATAGTACTTCAGGATGGAGTCCAATCGCCAAAGACTTTGCACTTTTCATATTTGATGCATGTATAATAAATCATTGTTAAATTATAAAACAAGTCTCTCCTGATTGAAATATATATATACTGTATATAAATACTTTTTCTGTCTCACACACACACACACACACACGTGTTTCAAAAAATGTCTCTCAGTGGAAAATATATAAATATATAAAAGTGTTAGTACAAAATGAAGGAACTTGTATTTTATAACACTGTAAATAGTCTAGAAAAACCAAAACAGTCCTTATGATAATATATACTTTGTAAAATACACACATCTATTCCAAAAGTGAGGAAAAGCTGAAGACTGCAACAACACCATGAAACCATTTTCAAATGAAGAAACACATTGGAAGTCAGAGGGCTCTCGGAACAAAGTGCAGCACTGCTAGTGAAGTGAGAAGTCAGGCTACCTCCTCACCTGCTGTCAGGTTTCTCAACCTTTCATCCTCACATGCAATGACATTCCTGCCTCACCTGCAGTGGAGGTTTCTCCTCAGATGCAATGAGGTCTCTTCCTCACCTGTAGCAAGTTTTTTTTTCTTCCTCACATGCAGTGTGTTTTCCTCATCATGACTGTGAGTGAACATCCTTTTTTTATGTCCACAGATTCTAGATTGGATGAAGGTCTGGACTCTGAAGTGGTTAATCCAAGATACTAACATTGCTTGGAAAAATCCAATCCCAACTCAAAGCTCAGAGCTTCCATGTCAACCTGAACAAACTCCAAAAGCTCAAAACCATGTAATAAAAAAGCACTGGAAAAGTAAGAAAGTGAACCTAGGAATTGCTTTTTTGTTTGTTTTTATTTTATATCTACTTTGGCTATTTATTGTGCTCACTGACTTGATGGTAAACACTGTATATTCCCCACAAAGTGGCAGCTTTACTACAGACTACATCTACATGAGGTTTTCCTCCAGATTGTCATTTACCCTCAAAAGGTGTGTTGCAGTGAAGCATCCCCTCAGTATGAGTCCGCCACTATGGGCTTCACTGTGAGAGTGGTACTTTGATTACACAAAAAATGTTGATTATGTCGGTCTAAAAGGTAAAAATGTTATCTCAGCAGACCATAAAACCTTCCACTTTTTTCGTCTCCAGTCTGCCCTCTGGCCCTGATCTCATGTGAGTTACACAACAGTCTTGACCAGTGAAACACTCTGGAAGGTTGACCCTGGAAAGGTTAAACACACCTGAATCTGACCTGTTCAAACTCAGGTGTTTTGAACCTAAAATCACTTCAGTCACCTTGATTACACACATGTTGATGCAACGTTTAATGTACATTTCACGTGGTGACAGTGGTGTGCCATAAGGAAGGAGAATAGATATGCAATCAGTAATATTGTGTAAATGACAGAATGTTCCTGATCCCGCTCTGTCTCCATCTGCGCCCTACGGCCACAAACATGTCCTCTACTTTCTGCACACATGGCTGCACTTTGCATCCTGCACCACCCAGAAAGTTTGCTACCATTATCAGCATACATTTTCACATTGAATGGCCGTACTAATGTCTTATGATAGTTTTACCATAGGGGGAAAAAAATCTCTTTGTCGATTCACGTGTCAGAATTTCTTTTTCCATCTTTTCTCTGTCTCCTTTAATACATTTGTAAATGTGTCATATTTGAACCATTATGCCAGTGTTTAAGAGGTATTATTTCTGCCATTACAATACATTTGACTGCAACTCTGTTGTTCATTGAAGTTTTGAATTATTTGGCTTAAGTGTACAAATAATATAATAATCGACTCTCGACAGACACTAACAAAGCAAATGCTCCTCAGTTGGTGGCATTTCAGGTAGCGCTGTGGATAAACCATAGATACAAGCAGAGACAAAATCAATACACATACAACAAGGTGATCAGTCACCTTTGTGAAAGAGGTCTTGATGGGAAGTGATCCATCACCTCAAAGACTAGTGGTCCAACGATTGATCAGTTCAGGTCGGCGGGTGAGAATGATGTGGGGGTTGATGGAGCAGCTTGAGTGAGAGTCTGTAAAGCACAGAAGGAGAGAGTCAGTATTCATGTTAGCGCTCCCTCTCTTCTTCGCATAGCACAAAGCAGCCATGTCCACTCATGTGGTACTGAAATCAGTCTTTAAATGTGGACTTTGGACTAGGTGGTCTCTGAACTGGGACACATCTCCAGTGGCTGAATAGGTTGTATTATAAGTCAATGCTAATATTGGTGGAAACTTTATTCATTTTCAATGGGTGATGCAGGTTTGGAAAGAAGTAATGTCTGTTAAATTCTAAAAATTACATTGATTTAACTTATTATTTGGTACAAATTATGAGAAAAATAAACATTTCCTTAATAGAAAAGGTTACTTTTAATCCACAGTATTCATTGTTAGTATCTCTACAAGCTCTCTTGTAGGATATTTCAGACGCTCTTTTGGGCCCTCTGGTTGCCACGGGAATCTAAACAGCCACTTAGTTCATTCATGCTTTGGGCCAGCTCTGGCACCGCTGTTGCCCAACACCGCTAATGATGTTGGAATTAGCGGCTTGGCACAAGTGGTTCAAGTCCTGACAGGCATTTTTCTGTTAAACGAAGTTACACTTCCTCGTCTACAATGCTTTCTTGTGGTGTACCTCAAGGTTTGAGGGTGAGACTATTGTTTTGTCCCTTTGTGTGCTTCCCCTTGCTCACATAATTAGTAGAGACAACAAATTCTTTCACTTTGATGCAAATTATACACAATTATATCTTCCTGTCAACCATGCTGATTCTTTGGTCAGCCAACAGACCGCTTGCTGATATTAATTGTCGAATGCCTTGTACTTCCTGACAACTATACCAAGACTTCTGCCAGAATTTATTTATGAAGTTATTTTTGATCTGAATTTTGAAAACCAAGTACAAAGGTTTATCCAGTCCTGTTTGTACCAGTTTAGAAGCCTCTCTAAAACGTCACTGACCTGGAGAGAGTTATTCGTGGCTATTCCCCCCCCCGGCTGTACATGAGCAATGAAACAGTTGTGATGTGATTTGGATGTTCTGCGAGTAGATCAATCAAGTCTTAATTAAGAGAAAGTGTTGGAGTCTTACAGCATACTGTCCAAAGTTGTGTTTCTGCCTGAAGAGTAGGAAGCAGACAATAGCAGAGATGGCTGTCTGGGCCAGGGTGAAGACAAGGAGGGACGACTTCAGTCCTCTGCTCAGCATCTGTTACAAAGGACACACAGCACCCACATTCATTTTTGTCTCATTAGGAACGACAGCAGGGTGTCAGGGAGGATTATTATTGATTCAAAATTTCTAATTTTTGTCAACTCATCAATTGTCTGTCACAGTACAGGTAATTGTATTCCACTCATAGATAAAGCTATCCTGGCACCCCTTACACCACACAGTGTGGCTCAGACTGTGTTTGAAATGTACTCTATCAGAGCCCTTTTGTTCACTGCAAGAGAGTAAATTATCAACACAATAGTGTGGTAACATCAACACTTAACACATGCACGTTAACTTTTAATAGCTCAATGCTGTGTTAATAGCCATTGGAATTTGACTCAATCAGAGTTAATACGTGATCACAGAAGACGGATTTATCAACACTATATACTGACAATAATATTTACACTCCACAGAGTTATTTAAAACCTGTGGTGTTAAGTTTAAAAAAACTATTTTTCGTGAAGCTTTTCGAAGGTGAACATGAACAGATCTGTGAAGTTGAAGTTAAAAATCTGTATGTAAAATATCGATATTCATTCAGATTGTGATGCGTGCATCTTTAAATTGCTTGGTGTTTGTGTGTAGACTGGAACATGATGAATTTGTTATGCACAAATCGTTGAACACATTAGTAAATCTTATTTGTTTGTTTGTAGATCATGTAATACACATTTGTGACGATTTTTTGACTAATTCCACTCCATAGTACTCAGCCAGAGAGAGCAGCAGCGGGAGACCCAAGCACCAACTGGTAAACAGGGTCCATATTATTATTAACTACTTCTAGCTAATTAACTAGATCCATCTAAATGTTGGTGAGCATAATAGCAAGGCCTTTATGGTGCATAATAGCTACCATTTTGAGTTTGTCTGAAACAGCGTTAACCTGGCAAGGCAAACAATCTGTTTCCTCATGAAACAGAATGATGTCTATCACATACTCATATTTCCAGTAGAGGACTGTGCTTCCTTGCTGATGGATATAAAGCCTCAATTTCTTTCACCAATGACTGGTGATTTCTGATATTATAATTGAACTGTTGCTCAAAGGTTTCTATGTTTCTTTCTTCCCTTTCCTTTTTCCAGTCTGGTTGAACCATTGTACAGTGTTTTGTTTACCATAATCAAAAGAATACTTTTTTCAAACTCTTCAACCCAATGTGACAAACATCGTCCCATTTACATGAAATTGACATTGTGTGTTCTGCACTTGATATAGAACATAATGGATGTAAGCGTGTTCTAATGCCGCGTCCGATGCCTCAAACGGTGTCCCACGACATGCAGCTCTCATTATAATCATATTATTTTATTATATACTATACCATACTAAACCATATCACATTTGATATTCTGTTATATTGCTGCACTATACTTTATTATGTCATACTGTATTCTATATTATTATCATCATTATTACTACTATTTCATTATACTGTATTTTATACCTCATTCTGTACTATACAAGTCATTGTACAACAAGGTTGTGAAATGAAATAATAATAACGATATACTGTACTTTATCATACTTTACCATGTTTTGCTGTACTGTTTTACTACATCATATACTTGTATATTTCAATTTGATAAATCAAGACAAACAAAACTAAGTATCATTACTACATATTATTGTGGCGTACACTGTTTAATGCCGCTTATTCGTGTAACTTGTCACTTTAACTTGTCACTACTTTGCAAATTTGTCTTTTATTACGCTTGCTCATTTTTGTATAGTTTCTACTCTTATACTAGTTGTATTGTTATTATTTTATTTGTACATTTGTTTTTACTTCTATATTTATTGTACTTATTCTGTCTTTGTGCTGCTTACACCTGAATCTCCCCTCTGGGGATCAATAAAGGCTAAAGGTATCTTAACACTTTACATTGAAGTATTTCAAGTCTTAAGGTATGTTGTTGGCATGGAAGCATGGAAGCATGGTAATATGAAATGAAGCAGGAACCAACCGTGGCGTGGTGTTCCTCGTTACAGTTGCCGTGTGACGTCTTGATGCAGGGCAACTCCGGATTCCTGTTGATGTCCACAGAGTAGATGATCACAGCCACCACTGACAGCACGATGGACACCCCGCTCACCATCAAACACACCCGCAGCTGAAAAACAGCCACAACATTTCATCTCTTTAAAAATTAGAGGGGGCAGTAAAGAACATGGTGGTAGTTATATGAGCAGCTGCAGTAGTACAAGTATTGTAGCAGCGACAGCGCTGGGATACTCAGTGAGGAGGCCAGATGGCCTCTCGTGTGTCTGATCAGTAATCAGACTGGACTCATTTCGCCAGCTCTGCTTATAGGTGATACATGCTTGTTTGAACACAAACAATTTACTTAGTTACATAACTAAAATATACCAGAAATCACCAAATAACCATTTTGTTAACAACAAAAAAAAGAAAAAAGATTGTATTCCCTTCCCCAACAGCCCCTTAGCTCATAGAGTATGATGCTGCCTACTGCTACTTAGCCTGCTGCTATGGGACAGTAGCAGTCATAGTTGCAGCTGATTAAAAATATTGTTAGTTTTTGTTTGATGTAACAAATTAAAGTCATTTGATTTTGTCACTGGAGGTCACATGCACAAAAATGTTGCTTTTAGGTGTTGGAATTATCAATATTCCCCCTTGGGAATATGTCCCTGGACCCACTCTGGATACTCTCAGCACAGCAATATCAGAGAGGTGGAGGGGGTCTCTGTAAAAGACAGTGTGTTTGTATTGAACCACGCATTACACACACCATCTACTGTATGTGTGTGTGTTGTCTATAGACTCACAATCTTCATGGTGCAGTGTTTGTCCAAGACGATAGCCACCACTCCCGCTGTGATGAACTAAGAGCACACACACACACACACACACACACACACACACACACACACACACACGGACATGGAAGTCAGCACAGACGAACATTACGTCACAATATTAAGGTCCCTGTGCTTTTCCTATTTCGTGTTATGGGTTTTATTTTATTTTGAGAACACATGATCTAAATCTGAAATCTGAATAAAATAAGATGAAAAAGCAGAACACACACACACACAGACTCACCGTTAAGCCGCTCCACCAAGGAACTCCAAGGTTCACCACTTCAGTTAGGACAGTGAAGTGCAGAGGAATGGAGTAGGACATGACCATCAGCCCCAGCATCACCTGACTCACCTGGCACACACACACACACACACACACACACACACACACACACACACACACACACACACACACACACACACCAACTTAGTGACACCAATGATCCAGGATCCAGTTGGCTAACTATTTAGCGTGACTGTTTCATAGGATAAGCCACGGCTTGCCAAAACACAGCAAAGAAGCGGTGGAGAAGGTGAGTGAGGAAAGCCTTGGTTATACTCTCTGCAAGGAAAGTCGCACGGACATGAGCTGAAATCGAGACATAGAAACGTTTGGATCTTTAATACTCCCGTGAGGGGAACCAACATCCTGAAAGCTCCTCAATTTTCTCCACCCATCCAGATAACAGATAAGTTGGAGGTCCACGGAAAAATCATAGCAGGATTTATACATGACCCATATGTGAGGTGCCAGACAACGGCCCTTCGCTGGGGTTCCATGTGGCAGGTGTTGCCTGTCCACATGCACATCCAAACATTTCCAACAGCGGAGAAAATGTGAAATATTTAGGATCTTTCAGAATGTCTGTTTGCTGCGAGGACAAAACCCGAAAAAGATCCAAACCTTTCCTCGTCACAATCACGCATCAGCTCATCCTTTGTGGACAGAATAAAAGTGACTCATGATGCTGACAAGTCACCTGACAAAATGTCAACGTTTACTTTTTAGTAAACGTTGACATTTTGTTCTTTTGGAACAAGTACAGCAGTCTTCCGGGCGAAAAGTCTAAGTTTGTCTGAGTGGTTACCTGTTTTGTTTATCGCGTGCACACGCGCAAGGACACATGCAGTGCACACATATAAATCATGTTTCACACTATTCCACTGATCTACAGGTGGCTGTAACACACCAAGACGTGCTTCAATGTGTCAATGAAGACAGGGAAGAAGAAGACTGCAAGCCAGTAAATATAGGTGATCAATACAGGACTGAAAATACTTTTTGAAAAAAATGACTTGTCAAATGTTAAAGCTCAAGGATACACACATGTTTTGGTAAGTAAAACTGACAATATCATTTTTGCTGTTTGTTCACAAGAAATCTTTCTGGTGTGCTGTTGAGTGAGCTAGGCTAGCAGTTTGTCCCTGCCTCCAGTCTTTGTGCTAAGCTAGGCTAAACACATCCTGGACCTCTCTCTACAGCGGGTAGAGATGAAACAGTGATCTTGATGCTCTTATCACGTGTCCACGACAGCTAACAAGTGTATCACAAGTGTATTCAAGAATGTTGGACTTTTCTTTTACACCAGCAAATCTTGGTCCATACTTAAAACTTCCACTCATCACTCTACAGTTCTGTGTGGTTTCTGTGTGCCAACATACTTGCACTCACACAGAGAGAGAGAGAGAGAGAGAGAGAGAGAGAGAGAGAGAGAGAGAGACAGAGACAGAGACAGAGACAGAGAGAGATCTGCACTCACCCCCAGACATTTGGGCTCTCCTCTCTGGATGGCATTGCGCAGAGCTTGCTGTCTGTCAATCAGCTTAACAACATTTGTATCCTCCGACACCTGCACCGTCAGATCTGTGGAGACTGCTACCGACATCGCCTGCAGAGGACAGCAAAGCCCACTTCTTTACAATCTGATCTGATCATTTTATAGATCAAGTCCTGCAAAAACCCAACAGAGCTGAACGTTGTATTGCAAAAACAACAACAAATGAAGTGAAATACACATTGTTATAAGCGTTCTTTCTTTTTACGGCATTATTCAATGAAAACTGCTGATGGGATTGTAATTATGAAGTAGTAACAACAATTACTAAAATATTCACAGAATATTGAAATTGACCTTCATGACCAATAGGTTTGTGTTTAGTGTATAGTAGTGAGTGGGACTAACAATATGTTTTAACAAAGTTTGACTTTGTGGCCAAATATCTTTTAAAAATAATTTTGCAGGAACTTAGTTGTCTACATGAAGACATGAAAACGTGTCTGAACAAATCTCCAACTGGAACATCTTCACAGTAACTCAATTCAGATTTAATTGAAAAAATCAATATTAAATTAAATTGGAAAGATATATGAATCATACCTGTAATTGTGCATGTTTGAGCCCATAAGGCAACAGCCATGTGGTCTACACTGTCAGGATCCCTGTCAGACCAGACACCTCCCATGGCCACACAGCTGCAGCCACTCCAGCCTATTACCTCCTGCAGGCTGACACACCAGACTCAGGTCCCACTAACGCTTCCCCTGGCACTATATAAACTCTGGTCCTGCAGTCTGGGGTTGTCAGATCGTACCGTCTTTCACCCGCTTCAACCCCATTGCATCTTCTGCCTCGAGCGCCTGCCTCCGGTGTCCGTCGGGTCCGGGAATCCCCCGTGCCCTCCTTTGTGTTTACGGACTACACACCGCCGCTCTGCCCTCCGTTGTGTTAGCAGACTACACACGCCGTCAAGCTGCCAGCTCTCCGGTGTCGAGCCACGGGACTCACACCGTCGATCTGCCTACTCTCTGGTGTCGGACCACGGGCTCCACACCTTCGCACACCTTCAAAATAAAACCTGTTTATATCAACTTCTGTCTCCTGTGGTCTTGCGATTGGATCCTAACCCGTGAACTCCCGTGACATACACATCATGGCTATTCATCGGTGTGGTCCGTTAAGACTGGTTCACATTTTCAGGCACCCTTCAGACAGCTCTATTTTTTGAACTGTTTTGTAACATGGCACATGCTATATATTGTTGCATCACTAGATTCGCGTTGTTTTGCTGCTTTTAAACTGCCACTCAAAAAAGCAAAGCCCATTTCATGACTACAGAAATCATCTCCTTTTTCTGTTTCTGCTTTTCATTCTACATATTAAATTAGACTTTACGCATCGTGTAAACACCAATGCCCTCTCACTTTAACGGGGACAAAACGCATTTAGGTCTGTCTAGTTATTAGAATGCACAAAATATCTCATTCCTACCTTTTTTTTCCTCTCGGGATAAATTATTAAGTCTGTCCTCTTTTCTTTCTTCCGACCACTCCCTGCCTTCTCTTCTGTGCAAGGGGGTAAGTACGGGGATACGTTAGTAAAACGGACGAGAGAGAGAGAGAGAGAATGTGTTCTCCGTCCTTGGAAGAGAATTCAGCGGAGCTCCTCCTACGCTTCGTCTAATGGTTTCGTGCATTCCAGAAGTAATTTTGTTGTGAGTCTTTTCCGTTATAAGTCCATCAGAACTGTTTTCCTCGGTGGGACATAGAAGGACATCTCAGGCAAAGCTGCACTTGTAAAACATTTAGTCGAGGTAAGTAACCTGCGGAAACCTTCTGGGGTCACACAGTAAATCGGGGTGGGGCGGGGGTGTTTGGGGGCGCATGTTGAAGTCACATTGGTTCATTTCTTGAACTGCAGTGCCGCATTTGTTATTAAGTGCGTAGAGTGTATATTGCAAGTTATTTTGGGGTACACTGACGTACCATAGTAATACAATTCAACCCTTTTCAGATCTAAACAACATTATAAATCTGAAGCTGTGTGGGGCTATTGGTGTTTATTTCCCCGTGGACCAGATTGTAGGCCAGTTTCACGTGTTCGATCCTCTGTGTGAGGTAACTATGTCATGACAGATGTATTGCTCCGGACCCAAGGAAACACAGTGTTGAGTGTGAAGTTGTTTTAATTGTCATTTCCCGAGAAAGCTGCAAGTAGCAACACCACAGGCCAAGCATTCGCCCGTTCTGATCAGCAGTGTTTTTAACTAACACTGCAGTTTGAAGTAAATTCGAAGACAATCGTCTCATCTATGTTATGATTTTAGGTAGCAGGGAAAGGAAGCAAACACGGAGACAGTAGGCAGGTAACACTCAACAAAACTCCATGTAGCAACAAACCGACAACCAACAATGAAAAGACAGGACTAGTAATTCATGAGAAGCGAATGACACCAGACACAGGTGGGGAGACACGAGGGCAGGCTGAAAGCTGATTGGTGGTAGAAATGATGGGAATAGAGAGAGGCTGACTAGGCTTATTAAACACAGGTGACACGCAGAAAAAAGGAGGGAAACTCAGTCAAACACATGAGGCACAGAACCTCAAAATAAAACAGGAAACAGACTAAATTAATGCCAGTACCACGACAAAGTCTGTTTTCCAATGCACTTTGTCCACTATTTTTGTCTTTTTCATTTCCTTTTCCAAATTTTACTTGTCCAGCGTGTATACACCTTTTAGAACATTTATGCGCCCTCTCTGTATCCTATCGGTACCCTGTTTATTCCTGTCTGTACTCGTATCCACTTGGTCATTACCTGTATTCCCCCTCTGTCTGTACCTGTTTGCCCTCTGTCCTGTCCTGTAACTACCATTTGTATACACGTATGAACCCTGTTTATATTGTTATTACCCTGTCTATATCTATATGCACCATCTACACCTGTACCTGTTTATACCCGGTTTTTACCTCACAGGCCTGAGATATAGTGCAATGATGCGTCACAGAAGAGTCTGCGACAAACAGCTATGAGTTATACAAGTTGGCGGGGCTAATTTGTAGTGGGTTGGGCCAACCGTCACTAATGAAAGAGGATCTCTCTGCTGAGTGCAAGTATGCCTCTCACAATATACTGCAACAAACGGTTCATCAATTATGAAAGAAAGGGGGGGGCAAACGTTTATGGGGCAGGGATAACGCCAATCATAAATGGGTACTCTCTGCTGAGTGCAAGGACGCCTCAACATCAACAAACAACAAACTGTTCTAAAGGGGCTAAAGTGTGCGGGGCAGGACTGTGAGTCAATATTCGGCATGTACGTAGATGTGTTCAGGCCTGGACTCTTAATGAAGCATGAAAGATTTGGGGCAGATTGGACAATGTATATTCGAGTCACACCAACAGGAAGTTGGAAGGGGGATTATACCAAACAAATTTAAAACAAATCTGATAAACTTGTTCAAAAGGAGTTCAAAATAGTTTGCATACAATACCAAAAATGCATACAAATCTAAATGGCTGACTCCTGGTTGAGTGGGGTGAAAGAATATATATCCAAAATCATGAGAGAATTGTCAGTACCAAATTTTGGACCAAACTAAGGGACATATTAGGGGGAGCTATGGAGCCTGCTGAATGTTCACAGGCTTTGAGGTGTGCTCCAAGTTTTGAGTTTTCCAGAATACCAAAGGCAAAAATGCGTTTCAATGCTAAAAGTGTTTAGGAGGTGAAATGAAAATACACACAAAATCCAAAATGGCTGACTTCTTATAAGGCAAGTAAAGAAATTAGATTTTTGACATTGAAGATGACAACAATGACCTCACCATTTTTTTCTGAAAAACTCCACACCTGTTAAGTGCCCAAAATGGCGTATTGTCACATGACCTAATGTAATGGTAAAATATGCATTTGATCTATGTGTCCGTGTTGTGAACCCGAAACTTACGTGTGGTTAAAACTATGCAGTAATGAGGAACTTGTAGTTGAAAGTTTCATCTTACCTTGAAACCGTAACTGATTCCCAGTTGAACGCATCTGACAGAAACTAGATAATGAGCAGATCAAGACAGCCTAGGTCAAAAGACCTATACTCCTTTATGTATGATTTATCTGAGGAGTGGACCGCTGTATGAATAAAATGATGTTGAATCTTGTACTTAGTCGAAGCTTTGCCACAGTCTACTCAATACGTAGCTGTGGTATTCTCTTCCCTCTTGCAAGAGAATAAACTGACAAAGACAAACTTGAATCTTGTTAACACTTTATTATTGATTTGTGGACAAAAACTTTCTTCTCCCGATTAACATAGAAATCTTACACAACACTATGACATCATCGATCATGGTATCGACTATTCCTTAGCAATGAAGCGTCACATTAGTCGGATGACTATCCAACTAAGGCCTTCCACATGTTAGGGGGCGCTATGGAGCCCGCTAGACAGACCTCAACTTAATCACTCTACATGCTCATAATGTTCACTGTTTTTGATGTTTTCACCAGTTTTGTACATTTTCGAGTACACCAAGGGTGTGAAAAATGGGTTTTAAGGCCAAAAATGATGAGGGAACACTATAAAGCCGACGTGCCATGCTCACGCTCAGTTATGGCTACTAGTTTGAATTTGGTTGCAAAGTTTATGTGTATCCTAAAGTCCTCAAATATGTTTGTAAAATGGAAATTAACGCACCAAATTTCAACGGAACTTTATCCTCACCCTGGTGTGCATTTGGGGGCGATATAGAGTCCACTGGCCACGCCTGAGCCCAATCATTGCAAAACATTGCAATTTTTTCAAGTTCTGAAGCGTGTGCCAATTTTTGTAACTTGTCGAGCATCCCCAGCCCCTTGAAAATGTAATTGCGAAACAGAATAACTATAAAAACAATAGGTTCCTTGCACTTTCAGTGCCACTTGGGCCCTTATAACAAACAAACAGACTCAAAACTCGATAGTGCTAGAACCCTATTGATAATAATCCTTTAAATTGCAATGGGGCCTCCGCTGACCAACCGGTGGTCGGTGCTTATGAACCCAGTGACAAAATGTTTCTAGACAACTCATTTACAAAATGTTCCTCCCACTTCTGGTGGGCCTTGTCAACTCATTTTATTATTAACCTCTCCTTCCCTCCGTCCTCTTATTCTCAGACCCCACTCTTTTCTTACCCTCCCTTCCTCCTCCTCCTCCTCCTCCTTATCTCCTCTTTCTCTCACCACATCTGCTTCTCATCCAACAGCATTCCTGTCTTTCCTAAGAGGATTGCGACATGTGGTTTTGATGAACTAACAGACTCAGACTCTCTCTCTGTTCCCTTTCCCCCCCACTTTCACTACCTCATTTTGGTCTTTATTTTGCAAATCCTTTCTTCCTGTCCAAACAGATAAGCACACATAGAAACACACATAAATACACTTGCACAAATATCACACACATGCTTCTGAGTTTCATTGGCTTCCCACTGTCCTTTCCCCTTTCTAGTGGTGTGTCTCATGATCATGGTCTGTCTTTGTTGCTCTTTGGGTTTGTTCATGTCTTTTCTTTTATTCTACAGTCTGCTCTCCTCTTTCTCTCTGATTATGGTATGCAGTTCTAAACATTATTCTCTAACAAAAATGTTTGCCTTGGAAAGATTTCCTTTCTGCAGTTCGACTTATTTTAATGAACCATTTTATTGTATCTATCTATGGTGTAATGATTTAATATTAACTGGCAGTTAACAAAGTATTTAAAGTGTAATTTATTACCTGGTCCCTTCTAAATGCAAGTTTGTTACCCATCTATTTTTGAAGATGGGATCAGGAGAGTTTTGGTCTGAGGATTGAGGGAGTCATAAAGTCCACCAGTGGTGGAGGAAGTATTCAGATCCTGTATTTAACTGTAAGCACTAATACCACACTGTAAAATGACTCTGTTACAAGTAAAAGTCCTGCAGTGATAGTTCAGGTGTTTTGAAGTGGGGTTGTATTATGTAATACAAAACATATGTCAGACTCCTAGAAAAGCTAATCTAAAAAAAGATTGATATCCATTTACTAATACTTATCCTACCTTTGTCGCCACCAATGCTAATACTGCTACTACTACCAGAATGTAGAACAAGTCGTTCCTCAATCTGAAGATGGGGGGTTCGATCCCCGGCTCCTCCAGTCCTTAGGAAAGACACTTAACCCCAAATTGCACCCGAAGGCTGTGCCATTGATGTATGATGGGCAGGTTGCACCTTGCTTAGTAGCCCCTGCCATCAGTGTATGAATGGGTGTGAATGGGTGAATGATGACATGTAGTGTTATAGCGCTTTGAGTGGTCAAGAGACTTGAAAGGTGCTATACAAGTACAGTCCATTTACCATTTAATAATGATAATGAAGTCAGGGGGAGTACTGGCAGTGCATTATGACCACTTGCAGCAGTTTCGGTAGTTTAATATATAAAGACATCATATTTATATGTTTTGGATTTAAAAATCTTGATTTGTAAAAATAACAAGTAACTAAATCTGTCAGGTAATTGTAGTGAAGTAATATGAACAATATTAACCTGTAGTAGAAGTACAATTTGGCATGAAAAAACTCAAATAAAAATAAAGTACAAGTACCTCCATTTTAAGTACAGTACTTAACTAAATGGAATTAGTTCCGTGTTCAACAACTTTCAGTTGGCTGGTGGTAGCAGAATGAAAGTTGATATTGTACATGCAATGCAACATTGTATTGTTTATTTGTAAATATGGACTGTAATCGAGGGTGGTAGCACTTGGTTTGATTATAATAGAAGTGGATTTGTGGAAAAAACTTCAAATTCTTCACTTCAAATCAGTTCCCTTTGTTGTATC